AGTCGATACGGAGCACCTCCTTCAGATATTTTGATGTATCAAATAAATTAATCGTAATCATGACGTAATAATTACTCTTCAATATTCTTAATTCATGATCGATAATGTCGTAGGACTTGTACAAAATTCTTGAAGAAGGTTTATTTAATCACTGTAATATATTAAATTAATGCCCATTTCTACCAATATAAATTTAATCTCGGTTCACTTTACTCTTTATTCTTTTCTAAAACTAAAAAAGATAAAAAATAAAAATGAATTTACAGTCTTTACTTAGAAATCATTGTGTCAAGACATAAACTGCACGTATATTCTCGAAATCTATCATTATTTTATCAGTACGACTGTCTGAAAACATTTTTGTTATCTATGTATTTTTATTTATGTAATAGAGAGTACGGTGCTTATGTTGTGATTCCAATAGTCTATCAACTGTTGGGAAATCCACATCCATTACATGAAGAATTTGATTGCGGAATAAAAATTTATGATAATGGATAATGGATAATGGATAATTCATTCTTAAAAAGAAGTCGAAACGTCAAATTTCTATTGTATTGCGCTCATCGAAATCACATCAAGATTTATGTAATAAACTAAATAAATATAAGATAATCGCATTAATAACTGCATTGAATCCCACAGCCGTTATTAATTTTTATCATATAAAAAAATAAGATATAAACCAAAATTAATCTGTAATGCATTGATAGAAACAAATCCAACAAAAGGACTCTAAACAGAAATATGCCTACAATGTGGGGAGATTTTCAAAAATATAAATGTTTTCCAACCTCTTATTTCATATCTATTTTCGATCTTGTTCGGTCTATGAAGATATCTTTTCGGTTTTTCGCACACGTGTAACGTAGAGCACGCGATCTCGTTATACAAAGCTGTGCGAGGAAATATTCGCGTTCCACGGCATATTTCCGACAAACTTGGCGGAACGTCGACAAGAACGACGCAAAAAATAATGCTCGCCTGAACTTCATCCCTACATGCAGGACCTATATCGTATGCAGGTATAATCTGTCCTACCCTTTGGAAAGCGTACGAGCAACTTACCATGCTCAAGGCTCAGCACGTTACGCTCACTTACTCATTATTACACACTGCATGGCAACGTGATTTATGTCTGAAATAGAACTGTGCAAACTGCAGCGTATGAGTCAGTATCACTTAAGACTATATGACTAAAGATTATGGATTTAGGTCGCAGTCTAGCGATAAACTGAGCGTGAATGAGACAAACGGATGGAGGCACTTCTAATGTACATAGATTTTGAGATTTGTCAAAGTATATACGGAAAGAACGATTTTGAAAAATTTAGTTAGATACAGATTGAAAATAATTTTATTTGGACCATCAAAATAATTTTTAGATCTGTATCTAGCTAAATTTTTAAATACCTCAGTAAAATCATTCTTTCCTTGTATATTTTAATTGTTAATGTTTGCCAAAATTTAAGATATAAGTATAGAATTTCGTATAGTACACGTTACACATAATAAAATTATAAATAAAACTCAAGCTAATTAATCATCATTTGTGACTAATTTGAAATATCAAGATTTAATGCTCCATCTTTCTGACTAAAACTAATGCGTTTTTTCTTTGATTACAACAATAAAAATAGCATTTTTTTACTCCACTTTTGAAGTATTCAAATAAACATTAATAAAGTTTTAAAATAATCTCATAAAATACTTCATACATTTGTATTCTCATTTTACTCTCATAAAACTCACTTCTAAAATATCCACCAATTTGGACCGATTCCATAGTTCTCGATCAGTGACATTTCAAAATTAACGTAACGGAACGATATTTCGATATGATAGGAATGACCGAATAAATGATAAGATTTTGTCTCACGGCGCGTCTCACGGTGTTTGCTGGAACGCGTCCAAAGTCGCGTGGGGGGGCCGTGGTTCCCTCTTCTTTCGATGTCGCGACACCGAAAGTGGCATTGTACGCGTCTGAGACCACCAAAGAGTGCAGTAGCACGGAATGACGACGAGTTCTTTGATCCTCCCTCGAAGAGGCTACATGCCGTCTAACGGGATTACCCCGCCCCGTGTAATTGCTCGTGAATGCGCAGATATACTCGCGACAATGGGTACACGTTGGGACCTCATCGATTCGAGGTGACGTGAAACGAATCACGATACAATACGCAAGATCGATCGGTAAAAACAACTACTTAATAAGTTAACAACACTTTCGCACGGAGTGTACTTTCTGTTAATTCATATGACGTATTTATTATTTAAAGGAATTTAAACGACTTAAAAAAGAAGGTGGATTATGGATTTGAAAAAATTGAAATTTATTTTCTGTAGTAAGAATATTGAAAAGATCATTATTTGTTAAGCCTTCGAAGCTAACACTTATATTTGATTCTTATTACTAAATACAGAGATGGAACATAATCCTTGAATAACATAGATGTAGAAATTAAACAATAAAAGTTCTTAAAGAATCTGTTTACAGTTAACATTTGAAAAATTGTTTAAAACTTAGAACCTCAAAAAGTTTTTTAATTTCTTATTTCCAATTGTTTGCAAGTTAAGAACTTTGATATCTCAATATTTTTATCGAAAAAAAGCGAGATCAAATTTATCAAAGAAGCTATAAATAAGAATTAGAGATATTTTATAAGAACACACTGTGAAAAAAAATGTGCTTTATTCTTGTTCCCATTTTTTAAACACTTAAAGATGTTTTAGTTTTAAACTTTTTCAACAGACACTACAACAATCTCCTTGTAATCGAATGTTAAACAAGGATGAAATGATGTACGCGAGCATTGCATTAAGTGAAACGCACCCACAGTGTTTTAAATCCAAACACATAGAGTGTTGTGTCTATTGACAAAATTTAAAACTAAAACATCTTTAAATGTTTAAGAACTGGAGACAAGAATAAAACATTTTAATATCTTAAACACATAAAAATTAAACACTTCTTTTTTCAGTGCAGTGTATCATAATAGGTTTTCCAAAACGATAACAGATAACAGATATTTAGATAATTCAACAGATTTCGCATCGTTTATTATCTATGTTATAAATTTGATGGAGCTATCATCAGTGATACCCGTTGTAAAGCTGTCGATAGGACTCGATCGCGGTGTCGAAGTTTGCGTTAGAGAAACGAGCGCGACGACTCGAAGCCCCGCGGCTATACTGATTGCGGCGGACCCTACGACCCGTACAGACCCGGGAACGGCGTCCCCGACCGGCCGGGACCCTCATCCAAGGACGTACCCGCTTCCCAATCAGAAGCGAAATCAGATTGTTTAACACAGCGGACACCAACTGCTATTTAAAGGCAGCATCTGCCCCATGGGGCTTGCTACATTCCGACGCGACGACGTTCTATCATGGAAACCGTTGTCGAGAATGTTATCATTATGGGGGAGCATCATTCGCATTGATTCTTCACAAATCGATACATATTGGCGAGAATATAAATGAGAACGAATATTTCTTACAGTTCTTAACACTTACAAATGTCTTGTCAGAAAAAACTGTCCAGAATTGTCCGATTCGGTTCTCTTTGAAATATATCATTAAATACAAAAACCTAAGAGATATGTGTTTTTTTATATTAGCCCAATCTCAAATTTAAGGAGTGAAACCCTTTCAAAATGAATAGGTATGGGAGTATTATTGAAATATTAAATTTTTGAACAATCTAAATACACAGTTATAAAGTATATATAAAACCATAAAAGTTTTGTCTAAAATATTTTTCTTCTCATCGTTTTGTTGATAATTGGAATCAAAGCGTTAGTTTTGAGAGGTTGTTTCAGTTCTTAAATCTGAGATTGGGTTAATATAAAAAAATACATATCGATTTTTATGTTTAAGAACATATTCAATAAGAATTGAATTAATCCGGATAGTTGTGACAGACCATTTGTTAGTTTAATGTCTATTCTGTGGAATAAATGAAAAATGTATGTGATAATAATCAAACTATGTACCTCCCCTCCTCCGAATTTGCTTTTTAATTTTCTTTAAACAAAAATAGTTGCTCAGTTGAAAAATTCAGATAACACAACATTTTATTAGCTAAATAAAATTTTAACAATTAATTTTCAGTTCTTTATCACTTGAATAAAATTGCAACATAATTATAATATGCTGCATTTTATTTTTAAAAAAGTATTACAATAATAGTATAGGTAAACAATAAACAACTAATAAAATATTTAAAAATGATTTTGAAGCTTATAAAACTTGAAGTTGAACTATAAAAAATCATAAAAAATGCGGAGATAAAAATTAAATATGAATAAAATGCGCATTGATGCGTACGTTAATGACGTGACGATCTTCGAGCCAATTTGGAAATATCGCAATCCCACTGATTTTCGAGTAGAGCCAACCGACTGACCTTTGCAGGCTATCGCCTGCGAGCTATAACGAGCCAAAATTAAGGGGCATTGTACCCTTAAACAGATTGCACATGTCCGTGCGTGAACGTGACCCCTAAGGCTCTTGGACGAAAAACGCTCGCACGAAGAGAGAATTCTCGTATGATAAGACGAAGAGAGGAGGCCTACACTACGACGGGGATGACATGGCGACGAAAACGAACGGGGAGATAAACGTACACATAGCACACTCAGCCCCGTGTGTTTGCCTACACGGAAATCCTCTCTAACGGATTCTAACGCTCGACCGAGTTTGCACTTTTTCATCTTCGGACCGATGACTTTCCTCCCGCGATCGAAGTATTCTCGAGCCACCGCTACATGAAAGTGTTTGGAAATCATCTGGCATCTCCTTCGACAGATAATTACGCGTCTGTTGTGATGGGAACTACGGTTTAAATTTGCGAATGAATCGCACAGTCATATTTTACTGTTTTATTTGAATCCAGAACTCTTTTCATTTCTTAAAAACGAATCATTCATCCTAAATATATTTCTTCCTGTAAAATTTTGATGGGGAGTAATGCATGGATGCGAAACATCCTGTTTCAGGCTATGGAAGCAGCTTATCAAAGACAGCACTGGACACGCACAGCCATCTCAGGCAGCCTGGTATGTAGTAGGTAGATATTTTTGAGAAGTTAAAGCGTTCACTCATTTAACTCCAGCTAAAATGAATTCTAGTCAAAGATATTCGGTAAATTAATTTAATTAAAATCTCTACGTGTTAAAGTCACTAGTTTAATATCGATCTCTAAAATAAAAATGATGACAAATTTTTAAGATATGAAATTTTTTATTTAGTTATCCCAAAAAATTGTTCCAAATTTCATTATAGATGATAGCATGTAAAGTCTATCTCGGATGATCTGTATAATTTGAAACAAAATTTCGTATAGATTTTTATTTATAATTTTATGTAATTTTATATCAAACTATGTGTAAATAATTATTGTACTATCATATCTAACAATTTGCAATTTTTCTGTAATAATAAGATATGGTGCTTGTTTCATAAAATAATAATCCTTATTCTCTTCATATGTGTTCTATGTTATGACAAATTATGCATTAATCTTTGTTTTGAATTACAAATTAAGTAGATCACTTGACATGGCTTAAATCAAGGACTCAGAGTACAAGGTCTCTTTTTACTTGAAAAGCAGGTTTATCTATGCGATAATCAAACAAGGTCACTGTTTCTTCGCGCGTCATCGATTCCTCAGAGTTTCGAATCGCGATGAGAAAAGAGCCTCGAATCCTTGGGCGTAGTCGCATACCAGTATTTCTCCCATCAGTTCCCTCGTTCCCGGCAGATAAATGGGTGTACCGCGCCCTTTCCCATTATTAACTTGTAAGTGAATTACCGTTCGATCGAAAGGCGATCACTCCGGCACGCATTCAGCGGATTCATCGGGCGAAACGACCTTTGAGGTCCGGCAATTCCGAATCCGTCCCCATCATCCGCGTCTGTCCCCCTCTCATAATCGCTCGACTTGTATTTTTATGGGGTTCGTCTTGGAGTTCTCGTATCAGGACTCGTATCAGGACTCTTCTTCGTTCAGACTATCGAAATCATTAAATCGGGACGTTTAACCTCTTCGTTAAAAAGTCTGTGATATTTTTTTTTATTTAAAAAAGAAATTGTAAGGTACTTTCACTTATACACATTAATTAGACCTATTGTTAATCCACAATCTTTAACCATCTTAATTTATAATTACTGTTCATAAGAGTTCATAAATCCCCTGTAGATTCAGAACAAAATTATTATATAAAAAATTAATATCAAAAATGATTCATATCAAAGTTTAGAAAAATAATATTAATAACGAGAACATTAAACTTTTAAATAAATCATATTTTAACATTTTTAACGTACTTGAGAGAGTTTTAATAGTAATTATTAATATGTTTATATACACAATAGCACACCGTCTTTATCACAGTTTATAACTAACGTTATCTTTATTCCATTCTTAATCTACGACAACATTCCATGTGAAAATTATATCATAATCTACAGTAATTCTATAAGTTTGCTCTCTTTTTATTATTTCTTTTTTTTCTATTGATTCTTCCAATTACGTTCATATCCTAATATTGTTATATTCATCTTGTAGTTTAACATTTGAGTAATTTAATGTTGAGTAAGGAAAATACAGACTGACATGAGTTTTCGAAAATGTTTTTGTTAGTTGATTTTCTCGATTTGAGATATTAACGGAGTAACGAAAATGCTTCAAATTGTAGGAACACAGTGGCAGATTATGAATTACTTGCCATTTTAATTTTTCCTTTTTGCCAATACTATTAGGATTATTTGACTTCTTTCATCTTTTATCATTTTGACATTCTAATTTTTAATCCCCTATGACTTTTCATGTGTAATTGAATTTCATTTCTTGTAAATTATATACGACTGAAGAAAATTTGAAATTAGTTTCGCTTATTTTTGTATTTATTAATTTATTTAAATTCACTTAATATTTTATATTTTTCTTCATTTTTGCTCTTCATTAATTCTTTTCCTTCTATTATTATAATGTTATACGCTATATTTAAAATTCTATTCTATATTAAAAAATTCTAAAAATATAATTTTATATAAAATATTTGTGTTATGTTACTCATTATTTCAGACAATAAAATTCTAATTGTACTTTTGAGCAAAGCTTAGTGCTAAACTATTGCGCAATATTGCAAATAAAAATCGATATATCGAGTCGCTTGTCTAAACCTCCGAAAAGCTTAGAAGACACTCGTGTCGCCCTTTAAACCACTCCGTCGACAGTTTCTCAAATTGAAATTATTATGATCCAAATGAATTCTATTCTATTGTGAGGTTGCGATTATGTTCTTTTGTATGACTGTAGGACCCTTCATGTCTGAGCGGCGGCAAGCGTCGGTGATGACGCATTGTAAAGCTTTTAAAGGGTGATACGGGGCCCTTGAAAAACAACTGTGTAATGGATAGGTATATCCTACATGAAATTGCAAAAAAGTTTATCGTTTGTGCTTATTCACAGTGTGAAAACTGAATTTACGTTTATTGGTATAAATCACGCAAATATTTTGCTCTTACACATAATTAATAAATTGTAGTATTAGGAATATGATTTAGTTTTGAGGGTTTTGCAAGAGATAAGATTAATGTCAGTGTTATCGAAGACGTTTCAATCACAGCTATTATTTCTCAATACTTTAATATTATTCCATGATATTTAGCCGTTTGCTAACAATAGACGCAATAAACATCGTATTTATCATTTAAAAATGACACTTCTTAAAGAGCATTTTTCGACATGGATTGTTTTTGTTTTTTAATCAGAAGAAAATAGCGGCTGTCATAGAACTCTGATAGAAACTTATGGTGATGTTCATCAATTAAGACGTGTGAATATCGGTTCTGTCGATTGAAAAGTGGTGATTTCAATGTTAACAATAAAAGGAAAATGCAGATTTGCAAACATTATTAAACAAAAATCCACTACAATTTATGTCAGAACTTGCCAAAGAATTAAATGTTGATAACAGTTATTAAACGTTTACGTGATATATTGTTTAAATAAATCAATTTTTGAGAAAAAAAATCCTCAAAATTACACTCCTAATAATATATTTTAAGAAAGGAGGACGTACTTGACATACTTGACATACTTGACTAGTATCAAATTTGATCTCGTACTTGAGGATAAAATTCCCTCAAAACATATTTACTCAAGCAATCTAATAATTAAATAAATATGAAACTTGCCAAGTATTGTAAATCTCTTATGACCCACAGATCCCTATCAAATGTTCGGGGCGACGAGCAGTCGTCTCGCAAGCTCTGGTTCCGGACAGATACAGCTCTGGCAGTTTCTACTCGAGCTTTTATCGGATTCAAGTAACGCCGCGTGTATCACGTGGGAAGGAACCAATGGTGAATTCAAGTTGACCGATCCCGATGAGGTGGCGAGACGATGGGGCGAAAGAAAGTCCAAGCCTAATATGAATTACGACAAATTGTCGAGGGCCCTGAGGTGAGTTTCAGGAAAATCTCTCCCATCGCACCGCGCCGGTTCGCAACTCGCAACAACAGCGGCGTGTTTTTCTCGAATGTCAAAATGGAAAAGCCATTAACGGACCATCATTTATGTTTTGACGAAGTTTCAGAGTGAAAGTAAATTCGTTCGATACGTGAACGTTTTGCGTTTGCTCGCGCGCACGTGTGTGTGTGTGTATGTATATATACATATATATATGTTGGTGTCGCGTCGGGATTCAGGGGGTGGCGAACAAGGGAGAAATTTCAATCATCGACAGTCAGACTGACGATAGACATGGCTATTATTTTTCCATCAGATCCACTGATTATATTACACGATTGCTCTTTTTGATGTCCCTTTACTAATCGTATAAGAACTCTCTGACAAGCAAGCTCATTTTCAATGTCAAAGTTGAAGACGTTGAACTTAGAATTCAATTTTTTATCGCAAAATTTAAAAAATAATGTCAAATATATATCAATATAAGAAACAACATACACACAATATTATTTTGGAAAGGAACAGCAAATAATGAACTGTCTTTGAACTTATCATTTACATAATTTATTATCGTATTATACTTATATTAAATAATTTTACTAAAATTAAAATCATGGCTTTGAAAACAATATATAAATTTTCGTTTTATTTGATGAATTTTTAAGTCATCGCGTAACGGTTAGAATTGTCTCAATTTTCTAAGTTTGATGGCAAATCGTACATGCCAATGACAAATCTGCCAATAAGATAATAAAGCTAATGAAGAAAAGTTAAAGATTTTGGGATAGTCCCCGAAATTTAGATATGCTGTCCAATTTTTTAAGAAAAATCCACAGAAATATTAGTTTCAAGCTCCTGAAAATGTAGATCTATTATCACTCAACGTTAGAACTCATAAAATCTAAATGGAGCGTCCGATCTGTTTGCAGGTATTATTACGACAAGAACATCATGACGAAGGTGCACGGCAAGAGGTACGCGTACAAGTTCGATTTCCAGGGACTGGCAGCCGCGACGCAGCCGGCAGCGGCCGATCCGGCGGCGTACAAATACCAGAGCGAGCTCTTCATGTCCGGTTACGGTCACGCAAAGCTGAACCTGATGCCGCCGCCGGCAGCATCGGTCTCGGTTTCCGTTCCCGGCGGTCTCTTCCAATCGGCATCGAGCTATTGGTCGACGAGCCCGGGCGCCAACTTGTATGCCGGCCATCACACGGCCTCTGGACACGTGCCACCTCATCTCGGCACCTATCCGCATTACGCATGACCCGCCGCCGAGCACTGGGGTGCTCTCGGCACACCGCGTTGAAATGTTTCTACTGAAAAAAAATGTACGGAGCCGCATCTGCCACCGTCGTCGTCACCACCGCCGTCGGCAGCATGTGAAATCGTAAATTGCGCACCACTCGGCCCCTTATCCCGCCCCCGCAAGCTCGGATCGCACATTGTTTCAGGTACTTGCACGAATCTGTCCATATCGCGTTATATTGTTTGCAACATTATCCTTTCGTAATGGATCACAAAACGATCGTCGCATTTCCAATGATTCAAATGAATGCGAGTAGCAAAGTAAGTATGACAATAAGTTTTGTAGCGTCTTTTTCTCCCGCACTTGGGGAAGTATAATTAAACAATGCAATCAACATGTTGCCTCTCTTATATTCAATGTACATTTCGTTTTGATAGTGTTCAACAACGCTCATCAATTGTTTATTTTATTTAATAAGTTATCTCTCGCCTCTGCGTCAAAAATATCATCAAGTAATACTTTTGAAAAACAGAGAATATCAATATCAAATTTCTCATAAATTTCTAATAAATTTAATGATGAAGAAATTATAAAATTTTTGAAAGACATTTGCAGAAAAAGGAGAAACAATAGCGCGTGATATTGTTTCAAAATGATACAAACATTTATTGAGTTGAAAGAACTTTCAACTGACATCTCTACCGATAGGTACATATTTCAATTGAAGAGTTTCAAGAGTGCTTCTAAACGTGGAAACATGAGATGTTTATAGTGTATAGGAGAAGCCTACTTTGAAAGAGATAACATTAATTTAAATGAGTGAGTTACATTCGAGTCTAACTTTAAATTTTATTTGTGAACTTAACTCATTTTTATTTGTGAACTCAGCCCATGTTTTCTGATGTACATCTGACAATTAAAAATACAAATTTTATTGCAAAAACCACTCATAGATATATTTATATTGAATTTAAAAGAAATAAATAAAGGTATTTTCACTGACCAATTATTAATGAGTTATGTACAACAATCTAGATCACTGTCGGATCGTCAGTAGTAACATAGCTGGTATAATCGAACGTAAGTAGTAGACAATCCCGTAAGTAATAACGAACGAGTAACAGACATCCATCATCAGCGATGCATGAAAAGAATGGCTAAAATAACTAAAATTTAGATTTACTAATAAGAAATAATTTTATTGAACCATCAAAATAATTATATAGGTCAAACTGGTTGCTAGAATATTAAAACTCGTTGCAGTATTATCATTATGAACGTTCTACATAATTATTTTGATAGTTCAACAAAATTATTTTCAGATCTGGATTCGAATTTATATCACATGCGAAAATCTATAATATATACAGATTTTCATTATATAACTATAGTATTTTCGTATACTATAGAATTTTTATATGTGATATTTTTCGAGAAGATCCCTATATTCAGCTAAATGTTTAAATACTTTAGCAAAGTTGTTTCTTTCATTCATTCCTTCCGTTTTTTCCGCAGAATTTATTAAAAATACATATTTTTTTTATTAAGAAAATATTTTATTTAGAAAACATTTAAACAAGCTTTGTGTAATCATTAAAGTTTCCTGTTATAGAAAAATTTAATGAAGAAAAAGATTTTTCTATGCATTCAAACAACAGCTTTTTCAATTTTACTTTTTAATTTTTAATTTTTATTATTTTAATATAATATTTATATAATACAGCGATTTCTTTATTTGTTAAGTAATTAAAGCAGTAGATACGAGACATATTTACGCGAATAATATAACGTGTTTGGACAGATTAAACGAAACCGATACGGTCTTAACAAAGTGCAATACCTAAACAAGCTTAAATAAGATACCGTTGCAACTTTTCCAGTGCAATGCCTAAACAACATGTAACAATCAGTGATTATTATACGCGCCGCCATACAAAAGCGACTCTGACATAATGATTGCACTACGGACTCTCTAATTCGCGGCCGACGGGGTGCGCTCAGAAAAGAAAAAAAAAAAGATTATTGTAAGAACGTTGTACATACAGTATAATGCATTACGTTAGTACAGGGTGTGCGTCCGTGAGAAAATTCACATGAATCTGTTTACCGTTATCGTGTTGCCGTAAAGAACACACACATGCATCCTTGGATGAATTTTATCAATTCAAATGCTTGTGTTTAAGTTAAGCGTCAGTCTCTCAATGATTCTTTGCCAAATATCTTTACCAAAGAAAATTAACTCCTTTATGATTTGCAGATAGTATGTTAAGTGACAAAAAATGTAATTTAAAACTTGTTATATGTATAAACATTATTTCTTTAATATTCATTTACCATTCTTCGACATCGTTTGTCATTTTATCTAGTCATGTATTTAATGGTCTGCGTTTAGAAAAAGCAGCTTTATGATTGCTTTGAAATTCTTTAATATGATTGGTTTATATTTAGATCCAACGAAAAATTAAGGAAAAGCATTCAGGAAAAGTACATAAAGTACACAAAGTAACAATAATATAATCAATTTTATAATTTTACACTCAACAATATAACTGTTACGTATATGTATTACATTTATATTATTAAATGTGAAATTATAATATTGATGTTATGTTACTATTAGTTGATGTTTAGACAATCATTTTAAAAAATCTGACAACAGTTGTAAAACTACTTTTTCTGCTGAATACAGCCAATGTTTATTTTATTTTATTTTATTTTATTTTTTTTTACTAAAGTGCGCATCAATCTCATTCGCCAAGATGTTAGCTAGAGAGCAAAATATATATAATCGCATGACGGTAAATTGAACATGCGAAATCGTTTGGTCCAAGGAAACATGAACTCGTACGCGAAAGGAGCTGACAAAATTCCATGAGCATCGTCAGCGTTTACATTTGGATTAAATCGGGCATGTGTACATTAAAACGCATTAAAATCTGTCGATAATGAATCACAATTTCAAACGAGATCCCGCTGCTGTTTGCTCGCAGAATGTACTCATGTTCGATTCAGACTAAAGCTGATACGTGTATCATAAACTCTTTTAACTTATTTGTTATGTGAAGAAATGGGTAGAGATGCTACATAAAAACAAATCAAATGATGGGCGTGTAAGAAACGATCATCGAAGTATAATATTTGTACATTTATTCAGTCAGTATGTCGGTGCTTGCTTAAGCGTAAAAATCGCTCGTTCCTTTAATGTAATTTTACAACGAAATCACGTTAACCGTACATTCTCATCATCCGTCATCGAGAGAGGCGTAGACGATAATCAAAAAGTACAACGTTTAAGTCATATCAATTGACGGCATACGCAATCAGAATCAAACTTTCACCCCATCCTTTTTAGAAATCACATAAAATATGTGGCCTCTCTACTCATATCGAGACGAAGGATGGATTGCCGAAACCGAATTCGATCCTGAACAAAACATAGCATTGAGATTCGTACTTTGGAAAAAATTATCATATTAAATCATTTAAATATAAATGATAACTTCTAATTTATTTCCGACAAAAAGCAACCTTACTCCTTATAGAAATTTAATTTTGCTAGTGTTAATCAATTAATCACTTATTTTCAGTATTAAAATAATGTTAACAAAATGAATGATTAATTGGCCAAATACTATCACTGAAAGAAATTGGCTGAATATGACATAGTATTTTTAATTGGCTGTAGCAGCCAATTTTTGATTGCGTTAGTCTATCGAAATCTTATACCATTACAGACAGGCTAACGCAATCAAAAATTGGCTCCTGCAGTCAACTAAAAATGTTATGCCATATTTTACCATCTAATTTGCTGCAGCAGCTAATCTTTTCTTTCAGTATAGAATTAAATTTCTACAAGGAATGAGGAAATATAATATCAGAGTGCCATTAAATACAACTTTGTTGCATTGCTTAGCATTAATGGACATTATACTAATTAAGAAAAGTTGCAGAAATTTAGACTTCTGAAGGAAAAAAAAATCATCAATTGATTTAATATTTAATCTGTTTAAAATCTGTTCATAAAAAATAATATTCTTGAATTAGATCTTATTGCAAGAACGAACGAAGATTTGATAATCTGTCTGTAGAATTGTTGTATCATAATTAAATAAAATCATTTAAAAAACGTTTTTGGCAATTAATAAAGAAATAATTTTACGGATAATATTCGTACACAAGCATTCTTCATTTAATGCTTAATTTTTTTAAAGTTGTCTTCTCCATAACAGTCGAAACAAAGTTTAATAAAAAAATTAATTTAAAAAACCTAACTCAATGAGAAATAATAATGAAATCGATGTCGAATCGATGTTGATTTGATGATTTCGATTTCATTATTATTTCTCACTAATATAACTAATATCATTTGAATGAATGGTAGCGCAAAATCCGTTCTTGGACAGGCTATTCAAATAAAAAAAAAGTAAAAGAAACAAAAGAACTTGCAGTATAGATCGTAAATACTGACTGAAGGATACTTTTCAACAAAAGACACAGGTAACACAGTATAAGACAGTAAATCATTATTGTTTGCCAATGCTAACAGAATTAGAAAACAAAAATAAAATCATCACTATGTAACATTGTGTTATATTATCAGTATTATACTAGCGCTTGGAGATTGCATTTACAATCGTATTTGCGTTTCTTGACCAATCAAAAAGAAAAGCTGTTGACCAACAGCCTTCCTTTCTGATTAATCGAGAAATGAAAACGTAAATGCAAACGCAACCTCCAATCTAGTGTGATATCAACATTACAGCTGCGGTCAAAGTCTCACTATAAATGCTTTGAAGCATTTGGTTGACCAATTAGAAAAAAGAATTTTACCAATCAAAAATTACTTTAAAGCATTTGTAGCATCGCGTTAACCGTACGCTTATGTCTCTTGAAAAGCACCAAATATGTAAACATTTATCTGACTCATATTTTGGTTGCTTATCACTAATATTTCCTCAATAGTCTAAATTATCTATTGACGTATAATCTTTGAAAAGCGCGAATTTTAAAGAGCACAAATCCTCGACAGGCAACCAAGAGTTTGAAAACATTACCCAAGTGCCTTCGATATTTTATCCTGTTTAACATTCGGTGAACAATAAGGTTAAAATATATGGATACTCGGAAGCACTTGGGTAATGTCTTCAAATGTAGTAAAAAACGATTTTCCTTCGTGAATATCGCAATTCTCATCGACGCGTGTCGGCAATCCTTCCCCAGAAGAAGAAAGGCGTACCTCGTGTCGGAGAGAAACGTAACTCCTTAAGACATATACTGTACCATACTACTCATAAGTGGCCCTAAGCATTCCTAGAATAATTTTAACGATTAGCGCGGCCCCCGAGACGACCCGTGGGATCGATCGTGCAATCGGCACCGCGACGGGAAACGGTTGTTATCCAGCAGATGGTTTCCGGATCGGTCCGACGGGTCGCGAGCGCGAAAGGGCGCTCATGTAGATAGGGTGTTTTCATGTGTAGCTTAGGCGTGTAGAGAATTTAATCTTAGTGCGAGGATGCGGCGAGAAGTGAGTGTCAGGAGAGAAAGAGAGAATGAAATAAAGGCGCGTTGCGTGCGTTATTATGTGTATTTGTGTGCAAGATACGAAGTGTACGCGTGAGCAGACGTGATTTCGAGAATGGAGGTGAATAATAATAACTGCGATGATTATACGATGATGACGATGACAATGATGGATGAGTGGATGAACGAGGGATGTCTGGCACTAGCGTAGAACGCGTTAGGTTAGATAGATAAGCGATCCCCCCCCCCTCCCTCCCCCCCTGCCATCTTATCGAAGGCCGAAAGGACACGGTTTCTCATCACTAACTTGCGGAATCGAAGAAGACACAACGGGATAGACCTGAGAGAATCGCGGGAACCGCACCCGGGAAATCGGGGGGAGCGCTGTTGTTGTTCTTGTTGTCGTGCGCTTGTATTAAAGTCGCCATGTTCTAATTAAACGTGCCGACGGAGTTGTATCAGTCGTCGGCAAAATCAATGTGACTCCCATTTCTCTATGCGTTCGCGTTTGCCTTCTTGATCGCGTACAAAAAAATGTACAGTTAAAAAAAACAAGAAAGAGAGAACCAAAAGAGTAAAACAGATAGAAGGCAACTGAAGAGGAATCGGGGAAGAGAAAAAAATGGAGCTCTATCTGGCTTCTTCCTTTTCGCTCCTCGCATGTTACGTATGTTTAAACGTGTGTGAGCAAAGAAAAAAAAGAAGAATGAGACGAAGGGAATGGCGTGGAGACACAAAGAACGGTTGCAGTGTGATGGAGGTAGAGGAGGAAGAGAACGAGGGAAGAGGAACGCGGAGGCAAGATAGGAGAAAAATAAGCCGAGGAACACACGGTAGGTCAGTCTTGGTTGCCGGCGGTTGGCGAATTGGTCGGGTTGCCATGGCGAAGAGGGCCGGGGTGTTCTCCGGGTTCGGCGGGGTCCGCCCCAACGGGAAACCCCCATTCGGGAAATTCGTGGCGTCGCTACGCCGAACCATGCCGCGGTGCCGGAGGTTTAGCTCGGCTTGGCTAATCGATTCTGCTACCAATCAGCGCCCGCGCTGTTCCTCCACATCTTCCTCCACACTTTACTCTCTATCTTTCTCCCACACAGAACACACACATAGAAAAACACACTCATACACACTCTCTCTCTCTCTCTCTCTCTCTCTTCCCTCTCTCTCTTTTTCCTTGATATATGATATATATATTTTGTACACCACCATCGCTACTGCCACCCACCATTACTCCGGCTCTACCTAACAGCCACCACCCTCATAGTCCTCATACCCATTTCTCCATCATTCGTTCTACCTTTGGTGCATGTATTCTTCGACGCTGTGTTAGCGCTACCTCTACTTACGTACACGCTCTCCTTTACCAACCATCCCTTCCGTGTCTCGTCCCTCGTACTATTCGAATCCAGATACAACGCGAGCGGACGCAATAATGCATCGTATCAAAGTTAAGAGGCTCGTCTTGTTTGAGCCTCGACGCGGAAAATAAGCTATCCATTTGCTCTTCATTAATCGAATCGTTCGCAGGAACAATGAGTCCCAAGGAAATCAAACTTTATGAGAGATAAACATTCGCGTTTTACGATTACTGTGAAGCATCAACTCTACTACAAACTTTGTAGAGAAAAGTGACAATTAATGTCCCTATTGCTAAATAAAATCTTGTTTCATCTTTTACTTGTGATGAAAAAATCCTGTTGTAAAGAATAAAATTCAATATATATGTACAAAATATGCCTTAAATATTTAATTAAATTCATTGTTTGCATTTACAAATTTTAATAAAAGAGTTAATAACGATTTTAGTAGAAACTGTGACGAGCAATTTCTTTTTTACTGCAATAATTATAATATGGAATTATATAATGTTATATTGTTTTTATGATAAATCTCTGAATTCAATTCTTTTTTAAAATAAAAAAACAGTAGTTTTCAAATTGCAAAACAATTGCAAGCGAAAGAATTTTGAAAATTAAACTTGAGAACAGATAGAATTAGAATATAGATATCGCAAGACTCACTTAATTTCGGATCAAGTTTATTTTACGGAGGATTTAAGGATTATTTCTGGAGATATTTAAAATAGAACGAGAGGGTAATAATTTGAATAGGCTGCTTCCTTCAATATTTCCGCCACAAGAACAAAATTGAAAATGAATTAAAAAATATATCGAATATAATAAAATGACTCGTTAAATATTAATTTCGTATTTATGATTTCTAAATTATTAAACGATTGCAAGTAAAGAAGTTTTCAAAAACGAAATTTCAGCTCTTACAAATATTTAATACTGGAAGATACTGATTAAATTTTACAATTAAAATCATTATCAATATTAAATTCGATTTCTCTGTAAAGGAAAATCGCAAACGGATAATAGAATAAACAAATTCACTTAATTTCGCAAATCAATTTCATTTTGGGGAGTTTATTTTGAGGTTTATAATAGTTGTGATGATATCTAAAGTTAATGCGATTATCTTCAATCTTTGCTCGATATTTTCGCCATAAGAACAAATTTTATGTACTCGAGTCATCTTAAACTTAATTTTGTACATCTTACTTTTGCCTAATTTCTAATTGTTCTTTCGTCATTTATTTCTTTATCTTCTTCGTAACCAAAAAAAAATATATTCAGATAATACATTTCGATAAAACAATACATTTCAAATAACATACTCCATATACATAGATTATAAGGAGTCTTAAAGATGTCCAGAGAACATCTAAGAATGTACCCAGGATGTTTCTCGATAATTTGCTGTGCAAGACATGTCCAAAGAAAAAAAAAACGAGAGAACATACGATTTTTGAGATAAATTTTGAAATAAGATGAAAATTGCAAAGTGAGCAAATTATTAAATGTTGACCAATGAGATTATAAATATATATATAATAAATTAACTCATTTTTGTAATTTTCATCTCGTTTTCAGGAATTATAATAAAGGCCCGAGACGAGACATCCGAATGGCATCTAAAAGATGTCTTTTAAAGACATTTTTGTAAAATAAGGTGTCTTAAAGAGAGTTTTAGCTTTCAAAACATCTCAAAAAAACTGTTTAAAAGATCTTATGCATTTAAAACGTTCCGATTTTTTTTATTTTGTGTTATTGGAATGTTAGATTACACATCAATGCGAATTATATAGTTTAGATTAATGTTCTTACTTGAGATTATCCGAAGTATTTGATTCGTTGCATTGAAAATATGAAGTCGAATAGCGTGTCTTGACGTGTCCGAATCTTCAAATCAAGTTTCAATCTGGAAACAGAGATCGGATTTGTTCTCGCGAATACTACACGAAATTTTCAAAATTTCGAATCGTCGATTCTTTCTTCGCACTTGTTTCGTAAGCCAACTCTACTGATTATTACTTTGAAAAAATACTTGAACTGCCATCTGGTAGTTCAATTCGTACTATTTGCTATTTTTATCAGCGAACTCGATCGATATCAAAGAGGAAACTGTTATTTATCATCAGTTGCGATTCTCGTTAAAATTTCATGATTACCATCAGAATAAATTCGATTTTCTAGCCAGCGATGTTCATGATAAATATTCTTTCTTTTAAATCTTATTTTGTTATGATAACTGTATAATGAGATCAAGATAAGTTTTTTGCTTTATTCTTATTATAAAATAATTATATAAACCTTGTCTTTTTTTCTTTTTTTAAATACCCAATTTTATAAGTATTTTCTATTATTAACGTATACTAAGAATCATTTAATTAATAACTTTTGTATACTTGTAAATTGTGTATAATAAGAAATGAAAATAATTAACTCGAACTACGTGTGTTGATGATAAAACTGAAAAAAGTATTGAAACTATTAATTATTGTATATTTATTTCTATTAAATAATATAATCATATATGAATGATAGCCTTCTTCGTCACGATAAAATTCAAAATTAATCTTAAAAAGTACACGAATATATCAAAGAATTAATGTGAATAAATTACTTACCAAGTACTAATTTCATGTCTATGCAATTATAAATATAACTGGGACTGTATTTGATTTTGTGCATGCATGATTTATCATTTATCCTTCTTTAATATTCGATGAATATAAAGATAAAAATAAATGATATTTCATACATATAAACAAAACGCATTCCGAATTATCTTAAGCCTAATTTTTCCTACTTTTGCCGAGTTCCATATTTGTTACAACTTCTTTTGCGGATGTAGTTATTCGTTTATTCGTAAACAGGTTGTAATGACTGCCGTGTTTAATGTATACGTTTTGTGTAGAGGCGCCAGTGAGCAAGTTTCAAATTCTAACTATTCTCAAGTGCACTCGCAAGGTTTCTTTCCACTTCTCTCCAACGTGATGTAACTGATGTAAATATGAATAGCGATGTCATCGTCAGAAAATTATTTGAGAAAAAGGAGAAGAAATGAACGATAATGAATGTAGAAGATGCGGATATGCACAATCATTATAATTCTCTTTCTCTCTCATATGTACGCGCGTACAGAAGACTTCGCACTGTGCACTGTCATCGATATTTATTCCTCCCTCTGGTCAGCTAACAGATTGTCAACTATGTTAAGCGTTATTTAAGACGGGTCGAAATCTTTCTGACGTGTTCGACGGCTAGATACGAGTATCAGGATGAATGCGAAGCATTTGAGTACTGGTACTAGAGAAGTATTTTTTATGTTGCGTAAATCGAGAGATTGACAAATTTGCAAGGAACGTCTAAAAATGTGCGTTCTTTTCAGGATCGGTACCACCGCCCGTCGTGCCCGGAAAAATACGCCTGTACAGCATGCGTTTTTGTCCGTACGCGCAAAGGATTCACCTTGTGCTGGATGCTAAGCAAATTCCGTAAGTTGTGATTATGCAGCAAAACAATCGTTACTTTTAATTGTTACCTTTTTTGGTTTGAAATGTTAAACTTTTTGATATTTCAAAACTTTTTATTGATACATCATTTTAATATTATATATAATTTCTAAGTAATTTAGCAAATTTCTTTTTTATATGTTCTACTCCCAAGTGATATATATTAATTTAACGAAATATTCATCAATTAACAAGTAAGTGAAAGAAGCGCGAATTGCAAAGTATTTATTTTATAAAAAGAAAAAGATTGTTCTGAAAAAAATTTATAATTTAATAAATTATTTATACTTATATGTGATGGAAACGTATAAAAGTAATGTTTTTTTTGCATTGTTTGTTTTTAGATATGATGTAGTTTATGTGAATTTAACACACAAACCTGACTGGTTGATGGAAAAGAGCCCTCTTAATAAAGTTCCTTGTATTGAACTGGAAGAAGGAGAAACATTATATGAAAGTCTAATTATCGCTGAATACCTGGATGATACATATCCTCAAAATAAACTATATCCAAATAGTTCTTTAGCAAAGGCTAAAGATAAGTTATTGATCGATAGATTTAATGCAGTGATAGCAACTATGTATAAGGTATTTGTTTTATATTGGTTCCAGAAATATTTACATATATTCTCGTCTATAACTTTTAAGTATATTCCCATAATGATCTTATTGTATTTGATTTTTAGGGATATTCGGAAACAGCACTGGTGCAAGACGTATTCAACGAGGTGTTAACTGGCTTAGAACTCTTTGATCGGGAATTGGCGAAGAGAGGGACTCCCTTTTTCGGAGGCAGCAAACCTGGTATGTTGGACTTAATGATATGGCCGTGGTGCGAAAGGGCAGATGTAATAAGAATTATAAAGGGAGAGCAATATGTCTTACCTCGAGATCGTTTCTTACGACTGGTAATTATCATTATTAGAAGTTGACATATACAGGAATGTTTCAGGACTCCTGAGATAAAATGGGATGATGGATTTTAACAAAAAAACTAACTTTTATTATAGAACATGTAGCTTCTCTGATACATTTTTTGCTGCTTGTCTAATTTGCATGTATAACATCTGAAAATAATATTAGTTCATATTCTGTGATTTTGTTTTGAAAGATAAAAAAGCATATTAAAATGATAAAAAAAGAAAAAAATGTAGACTAGTATTTATCTATCAGACATTACGTGCAATATTACTATAATTGCAAACTTCACAACCGATCTGAATGAGGACATAACTTTTTAAAAATTGAAGAAGGCAGATGTTTTTGAAAAACAAAAGTGTCTTTTTTTGTTGATATTTATTGTCCCTTAAAGAGTTTATCTCAGAGATTTTAAAACATCCCATATATCGATTGTAATACAAATTTTTATGTAATATAGCTTGAATGGAGAATTGCTATGAAAGAAGATCCTGCAGTGAGTGGCAGCTTCCTGGATGCTGAAATGCATGCTCAGTTCATGCGTAGTCGTCTAGTTGGGACACCTCAGTACGATTTAATAGCTAACAGCTAAAGAGATAATTCAGTCTATAGTCCATTTTATTTGCAATGTCTTAAAATCAAGCGATATTTCACTATTGTCGTTTCTTTCAGCGTAATAAATTACATTTTATATTAAATTTTATACACATATATAT